TGTCATATTTTCCATACCTTTACCTTCAAGTCTTATCCTTCGAACGCATGTTTTTACTTAAAGTCATTTAAAGATTTCTTGCATTAAACGCTTTCTTCATATTTCAAACCTTTTACGTTCCAGAAATCCTTTATATTAACTGTTTTGTAAGTCGAAACCATTTACTTCACTTTTATGCAATTTTACATGTCTTTACAATTAGCATTTATTCATGTAACTTAGTTTTCACACACACATTTTGATTACATCTTTAGACCTTTAGAGAGAGAAATTGAAATAAGCCAAACACATATACAAATATCAACCATGAATATCTGTTCGATCATGAGAGTAACCTTAATATCCAAGGAGTCCTATGATCAATCTAGTCGATCCTGTGAGTTACCAGAGGAATTAAATAACAGTCAGAAAGATTATTCGATAGTTTGGAAGACTAGCGGTTGTTTACCAGAAATCACTGGAAACAGACACACTGGTCAGATGTTATGATGGTGATGCATCAGTGAAGAAGGTGAAACTTCAGTCCTTAAAAAAGCAATATGAGAATCTCAACATGAAGGACAACGAGAAGGTTTCAGTACATCTCTAGAGTGATTCTGATCACTAATGAGATGAAAGCTTGTGGAGCAATTGAACATTCTAAAAATCTGAGCACCATGAGAGTTGAAGAGCTGCAAAGTAGTCTAGAGGCACATGAGTTGCGTATGACTGAGAGAACTTCTGAGAGGGAAGTAGAGCAGCAGACTCTAAAAACAACTTTTGATAAAAAGTATCAGAAGCAGACTTGGTCAGAAGCCAGAAAGAAAACTAATGATGGTCAGAGGTCAGAAGCCTCAACCTCTGATAGGTAGAAGAATGTCCAGAAGGGAAATGAGAAGTCTGACAAGAATAATGTTCAGTGTTACTGTTGCAAGAACTTTGGTCACTATGCCAAAAATTGCTGGTCAAACAAAGAAAGAAAGTCAGAAGAAGTAAATATAACTAGAGGAGAGTCTGATGATGAACCTGTGCTATTGTTGGCTTCTGATTTTGATGATATGAATTTATCAGAATGGTGATATATGGGCACATGGTGTTCAAACCATCTTACTGGAAACAAGAAATAGTTGGTTGATTTTGACTATGGAAAGAGTAAAAAGATCAGATGTGCTGACGATAAATACCTCAATGCAGAAGGTATGAGAAATATCAGTCATTCTAAACAATGAGAAAGCAGTAGTGGTCCAGAAAGTGTGGTATGTACCTGACATGAAAAACAATCTGATGAGTGTGGGATAAATGATTGAGAAAGATTTTTCAGTTACCATGAAGGACAATCTTCTGAAGTTGTATGACTGTAATCAGAAGCTGATTATGGAGTCAAAACATGGAAGGAACAGAACATTCAAGGTGGATGTTAGAACTACAGACTCTGAATGTCTTAGTGCAACAAGTGTTGTCAAGGAGAGTGAGTTGTGGCATAAAAGATTTGATCATCTGAATTTCAGAAGCTTAGGGCATCTGAAATCGAAGAAGCTGGTACATGGAATTCCTACAATCAAGAAGTCTGAGAAGTCATGCAAGGTGTGCATGGAAGGGAAGCAACCAAGATTGCCATTTGCATCAGAAGTAGCTCCAAGAGCAAAATATGCCTTAAGAATAGTGCATTCTGATGTGTGTGGTCCATTTTCAGTAGCATCGACTGGAGGGAATAAATACTTTATGTCATTTGTTGATGAGTTCACCAGACTGACATGGTTATCTCTCATAAAGTTCAAACATGAGGTGTTTGTTGAATTCAAGAAGTTCAGACTGAAGGTTGAGAATCAGAGTGGCCAGAGTCTGAAGATTCTTAGAACTGATGGTGGCGGTGAGTATAACTCCATAGAGTTCAAAAGGTTATGTGAGGAGAATGGAATTGAGCATGAGGTTACTTCTCCCTATACTCCTCAATACAATGGTCTTGTTGAAAGAAAAAACTGTACTTTGCTTGATACGGCGAGAATCATGCTGAAAGAGAAGAAACTTCCTCATACTTTGTGGGGAGAAGTTGTTGCCACTGCATGTTATGTGCTCAACAGATGTCCAACAAAGAAGTTGGAGGAAATAGTTCTAATTCAGAAGTGGTCTGGAGAAAAGCAAAGTGTTAGTCATCTAAAGGTGTTTGGTTCTGTATGTTACAAACATATCCCAGAAGACAGAAGTTGGATGATAGAAGTAAAATAACGTTACTGGTGGGATACCACAATACAAGTTCGTACAACCTTATTGTCCAGAAACTAACAAAGTTGAGTTCAACAGAGACGTCATTGCAAAAAAATCAGAAGTCTGGAATTGTGAAAAGTCTCGTTCTGACTCTGATGAGAGAATTTCTGAAGAAAAGTTAGAAACACGTGTTTCTGAAGCTGGTAAAGATTTTGACTTTGAAGACGAGTTTGATGGTGACTTTGACTCTGAAGTAGAATCAGAAGGTGAAGATGATTCTGACCCTGACTCCGATGTTAATTCAGACTCTTGAAATTTTCAAGACTCCGAAGACAATCAATTGTGGAGAAAGTCCAATTTCTAAAGCAAGGGCTTCGGAAGGGGAAAGTTCTGGTGTTCGAGGTTCTGAAGTTCAGAAGTAACAAAGAGTCAGAAGCATCCCAAGAAGATTTGCAGAGTTTGACAAGCAGCAAGATACTGAAGGGACTCTGAGGTATGGAGTGCTATTCTCTTCTAGTGTTAGATCAGATGCAGAGCTGATATGCTATTCAGACTCTGATTGTTATGAAGACAGAGTTGACAGAAGAAATATTTCTAGATATTTTTGTTTGTATCTGGAAAGTCTTATTTCTTGGTGCTCCAAGAAGTAACTGGTGGTTGTGTTGTCAACCTGTGAAGCTCTCAAAACTCTCAAGAAGAATGTGGTTGAATGCCATGAAAGAAGAACTTGAGACTTTAGGAGGAAAAAAAACAAGATTTGAGAGTTAACTGAGCTTCTAAAGGAGAAGAAATAACATCATATGGGCTTTTAAGCTGAAATCTGTTTTTCTGAATGTGATTGCATATTGTAGCAACCAGAAACAGCTAGCTGATGTTCTAACGAAGAATGTCAAGACTGAACACTTTATCTGTTTGAGAGATGAAATTGGTGTTGTCGGTTTTGTGTAAATATAAATTAAGGGATAATGTTGGAAATAATTTATATTTTAGAAATGCCTTGTTGACTAAGTTTATTAGAGGGTATTTTAGTATTTTATTATACCTAATATTGTATATAAATAGTCTAGTAATAGGTAGGTCAATGTATTCGTTACTTCTTATTTTGTAGAAGTCATTTAATATATTCTTTTTGTCTTTCATCTCTCTTTTGTACACCAACACAAGTCTCTTGCCCGATTCGTCAAATGTTGATTTTTCAATAGGTAATACAAAATCAGTGGCACCACGAGCTCCAACCACATGCACGCGATCAGTCCCGTCATATTAGAGGTGTTCAAATTCAAACCAATTCAAACAAAAAATTGAAAATCTATCCAAAAAATTGAAAACCGCGAAAAACTGAAATTTATTGAATGTGTTTGGATGTCATTTTGTAAAAATCGATTTGAATTGGATTATGGATTAATTTTTCAAAATCGATCTCAACCAAACCAAACCGCATACATATATTTTTATATTTATTTATTTTTTATTATTATATGTTAAGTGAATTTATTATTAAATGATAATAATTTTTTTAATAGTAGTTATTAGCTTGATATAATTTATTTATTTTTATTATTTCAATTATAATCAACCACTCTCATTTTGTAATATTAATTTTTAATATATTATATGTTATATATTATATCAAATCTATAATTTATTAGTAGTTTTATAATATTAATAAAAGTATAATGTGTAATTTGGATATTAAAAAACCGATCCAAATTAAATCGTATAAAATTAGATCAGATCGGATTAAATTTTTTTAATATATAATTCAAAATTGAACGAAACCGCAAGTAGATTTGTCTTTGAATCGAATGATTTTTTATCTTAAAACCGATCCAAACCGAACCGCGAACACCCTTAAAATAAATCCATACTTTTATTTATTTTTTAAATTTTAAATAAATAACTAATTTAAATAATTTAATCATTTTAAATATTTTATTCTTTTGAACGGGCTTGTTTATATTAAAAATTTTAAAAATCGTTAAAATAAAATTGTTTTGAATCATTTTTTATAACAATTACTTTGATATAAAAGCAAGAGACCATAGTTAATAAATGATTTTTTTAACGATATTTAAGCCATATCTTATTTTGATATGAAAATTTGTTTGTTTTAGTTTTTTAAAATTAATTTTATAGTACAACATTTTTTTATAAAATTAATTTAAATAGATTTCATATGAAATTATTTTAAATTTTTTATCCCTTTGTTTTGCTTTAAAATGATATAAGCAATACACATATAAGTAGAGTAGTGGTAAGAGTACGAAGAATGTAAAAAATTTATAGTCGTTGTTGTATCCTTTCTTGAATAAAATGAATTCCGTAAATTATATTTTAACTAGCAAAAAGTCGATACTGTTAAGTTAAAAATTAATTTTAAGATTTGAACTCTGAACGTGAATTTCTAGTAATTATTACCATTTTGCCACAAAAAAAAACCTGTTGCAGTGATAATCTATGCAAAGATATGTAACCTGTATGAGAAAATGGAAACATTTCACTAAATAAGTCAGTTCATTTTATTGTAAAATTCTACCTTAGACTTTACAATTTATCTCACCGCTACTTGGATAATTGAAACTATCTGTTAACTGGTAAACATAACATATTGAAGATCAAGCCAGAGCCAAGGTATAGTTGTTTTGAAAACAAGATTACTCTCAGCTTGGTTATCACTTCGGCTGCCATCAAGTTGAACATACAACAAATCAGATACAAAGGTTAATGATTATTGCATTAACCGATTACGTGTGGACCAGTAGCACTTACAACTCTTCAAACTATGTGTTGTGATCATATCTCTAGAGGTCACACACTCAAGCAAGCCTTAGCACTGCCACTACTAGCAATGCTGCAGCTCTAAAGTAAACCTCTTTTAGGCTCTTATCCACCTTTTGTATCACATCTTCATCTCTCAATCCCTTCTTTCCAGTATTCTTGCTTATGTAAACAATTGTATTTCTCAGTTTATTTACTCCACAAGAAAGCCAAACCAGCCCGAAACCCAAACCCGTGTTGAAGACCTTAGAAGCACAAAAGGGGACCCTTCCGCAAGCTAGCTTGCAGATCACAGATAGCACAAGAGCAAGGCCAGTACCAGCAATGCCGGCAGAAAATTGGGTGAGGAGTTCAGGAAGCTCTGGGCCAGATTTCTTCAGGGCAAGAATTGCTGTTTCCCGATGATGACTTTTATCAGTCATCAAAAACAGAAGGCTTTCACATGCATGAATGTAGTTCTTCTTAAACAGATCCCTCTCCCTGGGGACTTTCTTGTTCTTTTTTCGCGACTGCTTGACTTTGACTTTCTCAGGACTGCCAAACAAGAGAAAAACATTAAATACGGTGATTGCTGTATGCTAACATATGCAACTATTTGCATCATATGAAGGAAAAAGTGCACAAACTTAAAGTGGGGCATAAAATTAAACCATTTAAAAATGGTCCGTTTGTTTTACAGATAATAGAGCAATTATGAACAGTTTTTTTGGATTAAAACAACTTGCTATAACAGTATTTTGCATATATCAAATTCAGGAGGAGGCCAATTGTCATGGAAAGCATATTTTGCCTACCTTTTTAAAGGAACAGTCAGTGTAGAGTGAATATCCAATGTAGAGGGATGACTTCTGGCCTCTACTTCATTTATATTCAGCCTGTCCACATTAGATTTTCTTAGAAAATGTCAGTTGCTTGATACATAACAATAATGTGCATTTGGATTTTTGAATTTACAGCAGCATAGATAAAAATATTTGATATATTAGTATGAAAAAGAAGTTTGTTGTCCCAATGACCAAATTTTAAGCTATCTTAAGAGTATCAGGAGGACCCAAACTAACACAGCACTCTCAGCAACACAGAAGTAGCACGAGCAAAGTAATTTTTCAAATTGACCAAAATAAATACTACATTTTTAATTGATCGTGAAGCAAATCTTAGCTACTCTGGATATATCCTAGAAAATTTAATAAACACATTTTATAACACATCTTTGTCGATATTTGAAATTATAATTAGATCTGGTGTTGATCAAAAAGTCCCTAATTATTCTTTTCTACTATGAAAAAGTAATTCAAAGTAGCCAAAACAGATAGGGTTTCGTGTGATCAAATTGAAGCTTAAATAAAACGGGTCCTCATGTACATACCAAGTGAAGTGTGGAACAAGCATAGACTGTTTTTCACCCTTATGTGTGCTTTCTGATAAGTATGACTCGGCAACTAAAGCAAGAAAATCCTTCATCTCAATTTCTGTACCCATAAATGTGACTTGGCCATCTGGATGAGCAGTAATTTTTGAACTTAGAGCTGAATCTTGAAAAATATCAAGCAAAGGCTTCGAGATATAGAATGTCCTATTTGGGTAGATGAGAGGATGCAATGAAATTTGAGGTATATCAATGCCTGAAAGTTGCAGACTCATCAAGTCAGACAACAAAGCTTTACGATCACCACCTATACCTGCTTCAGCAGCCTCAGATGTGATGCAATGCAAAGTTTTATCATGCTCAGTGCATTGATCAACGGCACCAAAGCCGAAAAGTTCATTTGGAAAAGTTGCTGCAACCAAAGGATAAGTGAAATTACTTAAAAGAGTAAGACAGATAACATTAAATCAAAGGAGTTACCAACATGAATCATCTTAGACATTCATCTCAGACTCAAAATATAAATAAAAAGAGTTACCAACATGAATCATCTTAGACATTCATCTCAGACACAATATATAAATCAAAGGAGTTACTAACATGAATCATCTTAGACATTCTAATAGAGAGCAACAACAAAAAGTCCTCGCAGACAATCTTCCACATGGCCTTGATTGATATAGTGATATTCTTAAGAATAGTTTGAGTTACTGCCATATTGCTCATCAAAACTAGAGAGAGATCAATAAAACTAGAGAGAGTTCACTGTGATCAACGAGGATTACAAAAAGTAGTCTTCAAGTCTCAACTCTTGCACCCAAATCCCCACACTTGCTAAAATTTAGAACAATAACTGACCAAACTACTGATACATAACACATATATTGGTCCATACTTCACCACACGTCCTGAAAATTCCTTGTTCTGTTGCACCTCTGCATGAATTTAAGCTGTGAGGACACTGTTGAGCTTTGAGCCAAGAAACCAATGCTCGAACTGTTTTGAACTGCTCACAAGGTCCACACCCAATAACAAACATTGTGAGGAGGCGCGAGGATCAGGTACAACCTCACTCAAGCATGGGACGCTTAACTCTATTGTCAGCTTCCCACTGTGAGATCTAATCGAACAGTGATCCATATGAAACGCCATACTAAGCAGAAGCAGTTCTAAACCGCCTTCCATATATAAAGCTATACACGCACCAAAATCATGATATTCTATTCACTCTCACATTCTAATCACTTCTCATTCTTTCACTGACTTGGGTGTTGAAGTATTAACCTAGTGGTTCACCACGCATCTGAAACCCGTTTCAGATCTGGTTCGTGAACGGAACAGGAACCATTCAAGTATACTACTGATACATAGAAATAAAGGCAAAAATAGATAAATAAACATGACATTGTAAAAGGAGTTAACCATAAAAAATAATTGAACCAAATACATAATTCAACAAACTATCAGCACACCTTGCACATCAATAACCATTGGCTTTAGAGCTGACAACTCCAAATTGACAAACTGATTAGAACCAAACCACTCTTTCGATGTCATTCTCAATTCCTCGGTTGAACTCAACCTAAGATTAGGACACTGATATCGAACAATTTCCGGTTTTGTTACATGATAAGGCACCAATTGTTGACAACCCTATCAAAAAAAAAAAAAAAAACAAATAAAAACCACTTCAACAAGATTGAAATCACAAACAACAATTTCACCTTCATAACAAATTCTTGTTGGCAACCAATCTCCGAAGCAAATCCATAAGAAGCCATCAAACAGAATTTCTGCATCATTTTATTTTCAGAGGGGAACTAGGGTTTTGTAAACCAAAATTCCCCTCCTCAGGTGACTCTATCAGAACACGATTTTTTTCAGTAACTGAAATTTGGGTGGTGCTGAAAATATTGGAAAATTTTTTTTAAAAGAAACTGGTTTTGTTTTTTGTGAGATCCGTTTTTTATTGCGCAAACTTCCGAAATGGTAGGTGTCAACAACTCCTGCTGATGTGAAAATCCAGGTTGGATTCTACTAAACGACAAGAATGAGGGTCGTGGTTGAGAAAAATATTTGCATACAAACAACTTTGATATGTAATTTTACAAATAATCAATTAGTATAATTTATTTATTAATTAAAAAATAAAAATAAATTTTCTCTCTCTCTTTCAATATCACTATCATCCTGTGATTATAATTAAATTTAAAATAAATTTAAATTTTTTACATTATCTTTTCTAATTCATCTCAAACGCTCATGTTATTTTTGTGTATCTAGAGCGTTGGTATCATGGTGGGTTGATTTGAGTTTGTGGTTGTGTGTGGCTTATGTGTCATAGTTATTGATATAAAGTGGACCGGACCTATAATGTTGGTAGAGTGAAACAAGTAGAGGTGGTAGATACAAATAAGGTTTGTTAATCAGAGAATGTACGTGATGATGTGTTGGAATAACGTTCGGGCTCTACCTTAAGTAGCTAGATTTCTGATCGGTGGGGTCGAATAATGACGAGAATGTTACGCTTTCAAAGACCATGTAGATGCAAGTTTGTGGGGGCCAATTATAGGGATTGCTCGGTGCATTTTTAGTCGTGTTTATTCACTTCTGGAAAAATCATAAATGCTTCTCAAATATATAGCTGTATTTCCTAAGACATTATAATAAATTAATAGAATATCTATGCGTTTGCATGGATATGGAAATGATACGTAAAATATTATTTTTAATAATTATTTTAATAAAAAAGTTTAATATTTAAAAAACAATATATTTTTAAAAGAAAATATTTAGATCATCATTTATATATTTCTGTATATTATTAAAAAATTTAAAAATAAATTGAAAAAAATGAACCAATTGTATTTACAACTACTGAAAGTTAAAAAATATAATCTTCTCAATGACATATCATCAAGCATATTATTGTACAAAAATACTTATGATATCGTATATTTTTAAGGATAAAATTGAGATGAAAATAGACTAACTCAATCTCATGTCCCCTTTATTTATAATAATCATAAATTAATATTATGAAATAATAGATTTCAAGTAATTAAATATTAAAATTGCAAATTGAAAACAATGATTATGTTTAAAATAAATGAAATATTAAAATTAATTAATTAATTAAATTAATAAATAGTATAATTCATTTATATAATATCTCAAAAAACCACACCCTCTAGATATAAATTTACTGTTTTTTCTTGCATCTGCGTAAATAAATCTAGACAAACCGAACATTCTCTCCATTCAGATGGATAATAGATAGTGAGTGGAAAATAAACTCCCAACAACCTTGGCACATATAGGCCAACTTATTGCCATTAACAATTAGCATGCCATTAACTTAGTTCATAACCTCTGCATAATGAATCGTGAAAAAAAAATCATAATCATGAACAAAGAAACAATACTTTACCTTTCTAAAAATTGGATAATCGACTTTGAATCTTATTTGGACAAATTGTTCTACATCCTGACTACTCCCACACTCTTGATTCAAAAATCGATGGCATGGAAAAACCAATATCTCAAGTCCTAAAACCAATAAAAAAACATTCTCAACTGAATTCTTAGACCCCTTTACAGCTTACAGCCACAACCTCATATCAGTCAATATCATACTGTAACATATAAAAAGATGCATAAATCTGTCAAATACAGAAACTTTGTATCAAAAACCAAGACAAGATCTTAAATTCATCACAGCATAATATGAAAAAGATGCATAAATATAATGGTAAACAAATACATCATAGCTTCATATGTTAATATAATGTAATACCATATTAATTATTGTCATCACAATCAAATTCTTGGTGTTTATTCAATTCATCTGCATACCTTTCATGCAGCGATGAAGCCATGTTCATTGGTGTGGGGGTCATGTGCCCTCATTATGTTTCTTAAAAAAAATAGCTACTATACATTTATATGATCATTAATATAATTTTTTAACTAAAATATTATGGCTCAATTTATTGAAAGAATATTTTTGTTATGGATTTATTATTAGAAATTAGATATAGAGTCACATAGTTTATGAATAATTATTTAGCAAATTTTTTGTTACTTATAAATTTAAGTTGGGTCTTGATATTTTTTTTTTTGGATTTAATGAATCAATTCTAATCCACATCGATGAATAGATTAATCTGATTTTATAATTTAGAGGGATGACTCACTGATTAAGTTTTGTTTCCATCAAGAATCAAACTCGGATAGTATCCAAACCATTTGTTCTTAGTGGAAGCTCCTTTTTCAGTAAAGCTGAAATACTTGATTGGATATTGACATTTTTAGTGCAAACTATTATGAAATTTTAATTTATTTTAAAATAAATTAAAATAAAAAAGTGACATGATATGAAATTATAATATTTGATTGGTCGAGAGTACTAATATCCAACTAAATACAAGGGTATTAAATGTTCACCTAATAATTTAGGGTTTCGTTCGAAGTATTTTAAAATGATTTTTTTATTATTAAAATTTAATTATAAGTGTCAAACTTTAATGTAGTATGATTGATTTTGTGTTTAAATTTTAAAGCTTTATACTAAAACTCTATAAAATATACTTATACTTTAAAAAATAATTTAATGGTACATATTATATATTTTCTCCACATCTTAAAATCTTTGGTTCCGCTCCTACTTTCATGCCAACAGAAGTGTTAAAGATCTGACCAAGCTCAACTCGAACATCGACTAAAGCCTGTCTAGTATTGTCTTCTGTAAGGTCAAAGGGCTGTGGAACCGAGAAAGATGCTGATAAAGGCTTCACCTTCCATCGCTGCTTATCGCTAATGAGAAAATGGAGGGTTTCTTATTTGGATTTGAGTAGAATGTTGGATAAACCCTTCTTTGTCAATACTGAATAATCCTCTAAACGATATCCCTAAATCATTGAAAATATTTTTTCAATCATTGTAACATATAAAAAAAAGTAGATTGATGATAGAGAGAGAAGACGGAAGAAGAGAAAACCAAAGAAGAGAAGACGAAAGAGAGAGAGAGAGAGAGAGAGAGAGAGAGAGAGAGAGAGAGAGAGAGAGAGAGAGAGAGAGAGAGAGAGAAGGAAGATTTAGAGGAAGAAGAAAGCACATCGATGATAGAGAGAAAGAGAGAAAGGATGTGAGTAGGGTTAAGAAATCAATCGTTTTTCTTGGAAAGAAATAACACAATTAATAGTCGTACAAAGTAATGATTATTAGGGTTAATAATTTTAGTACCCATTTTATCCCAGAAAATAGTCATTTGACCAATCAAAATAAGGACTTAATTGTGGATGACACAAAAGGGTGTCATGCTAGATTTTCATTTTTGGAGAAGTTATACAGATACAACTGGCTGCAATAGTGGAGACCGATGGTGATGATGCACATGTTTTGCATCATAGAGCATGTGAACTGAGGTCATACCTCATGTATTTTTTGGCACAGCCATATTTGTGGACAAAAGTGATTATCATGTTGATGTCGTTTACCTTAGATACTTCATTGACTTCAAGCATATTCATGAGTACAACTGGGGGTGCTTGTTTGGTTTACCTCTACTCAAAGTTAGTTGATGTTGTACCCCAAAATTTGCCCTCCCATATTCTTCAAAGATTTGCCAAGACAAGCTTCAAAATCTCCCCAAGGGTTGCACAGTCAAGGATCTCCTAAACAGTCAAGATTAGGGTTTGTGTTCTGATCAAGAAAATGAAGTTTCCAAAGGTCCAATCAAGTCTCACATGCCTACAAATATGGTCAAGCATCCTCATATCATGTTTCAAGACTTTCAGCTCAAAATTGCACAGTCAAAACCCTAATTGCACTACAGTCAACTGCAGGGGCAAAATGGTCATTTGACAGTCAAAAGTTCAAATTTTTGGTCAACATATCATTTTGAAGCCACAAACATCATTTGATCAATTCTTGATCATGATTCTCAAAATTTGGCTCAAAAAATCATCAAGATGCAAAAGTTTCCTTATTTGGACAGTTGAAAAAGTCAACTGTAAATTGACCAGAGCATAACTTTCACATGGATTATCAGAAAAATTCCATCCAAAGCTCATTTTGAATAGAAAGACATTTCCTACAACTCATATTCATATTTCAAGTCCAAGAAATGCTCTCACAAAAAGTTATCAATTTCAACATTATAGGTCATTTTCAAAAGTCAACAAAAAGGGACTTTAAGTCAAAGGCCATAACTTGAGATTTGTAAATCAAAATGACATGGGACCAAAGGCATTGGTTAGAGGACTCAAAGACCTTTCCAAAATGTCCAAGAACATGAGAAAAGCTTAAAAATTGAGCAAGTTATGCCTTGTGGAAGTTGGGAAATTTTTGGATATTTTGAAAAGTCAACATTGGTTCAAATGACCTAAAATTGCTAATGGGCCCATTTTTCTTCCATAATTCATCATCCATGGCATGTGCACGACCACTTGGCCCAAAGGGAAGTTTTTATTCATTTTTTATTTATTTATTTGGATTTTTATTAATAATAATTCATTTAAATTAAAATAAATATATGAAAAATGCTTAACCTAATTTTTTCAATCTTTTTGTGCACATTATATCATCAAGATTTCGTGCCTAGCTAAATATGGAAAGATTTGGACTGATTGATCATGATTTATACAAAAAGCACATGGAAAAAGATTGAAAAAGATCTTTGAAAATCAATTTTCAAAAACTATGAATGCAAGAGATTTGGATGATTCTTTTTAACCTAATTCATTACTACATATGCAAGGATCACAACCCTAGTGCCATTACACACGCAGCTGCTGAGAAA